GATGACCTTTAATGCTGCAGGCGTGCTGAGGAGGAACCTTGACATCAAAAGTAGTTTTCTTTTATATCATCCCAAGGTCATTGTTAAATAATTAAGGAATGACCTCCATTAGTTAAAAGAAACTGCTGCACTTATGACACCAGGAGAAACTGAGACATCTGCTGCTGAGGTCTGTTTTCAGCGAGCTGGAAACTCTGCAGGGCAGGAGGCTGCAGGCTCACAGCTCATATTGATCTCTGTCTATGCACTTGTTTCGTTTTCCTGCAGGATATTTTACTCTACCTTCGACACTCTGTTCAGGGTTAGAAAAATATGGTTGTTTGGGTTCAAGTACTGTTGTTGTGAGTAGGTGTGATGAACAGCGTCGGGCTCTTAGTGACGAAGGATGACTGCTCTCTGTCCAACAAACATCTCCCTGGACGTAAACATGATAACGGTGTGTGTTTAAAATGCATCATTGTCCTCCACAGTTTTAGACATAAGACAACCCACATCAGGAAAAACATCATCACTCAACCTGCAGTTCCTCTACCGTCCAGCAGAGGTGCCAAGAGTCGGTCTCCATAGACTCTACATATTACCCTCTCAATAGTGAGAGGGTAATATTAGCATTAGCCAAAACACTAACGCTGACCCTTTGATATAAAGATCAGTGACAGTGATGACTCAGCCAGCTGCAGGACAGGAAGTCCAAAGATATGAGAAGCTGATATCACATGTCTGAATTATACCAGATGTGTTTGAGACCCCAGGGGCAAAAATGTTTCTCCAACTAATCACACCAGGTGTGATCAGGTGTTACCTGCAGTATTACAGGTAGTGGCCCTACACAAAGCAGTGTGACAACCCACCAGAGGTTTAGAAAGGCCCTGCAGGTCAAAATTCAGGAGCAGCTCTGTAAAGAAACGAGAGGAAACGGGCCGCAGAGCAGCGTCTCGTTAGCCGCTCTGACTCCTCGCTTCTGATGGCAGAAGTTGAGAAAACTGTGCCGCCTGTTGTGCTGCCAGACCGAGCTGCTGTGCCTCTGCTAATGACAGGAGGATTAACCGCAATCGTCAGATCTGTAAATCGATGTATCCCGCTGGGCATAAAAACCACCACAGCCGGCTCCAGTTTGTTTTCCCTCTCAGCTGCGGTGGCGTCGAGCCAGACGGCTCCCTGAGAAACTCACAATAAGTTTGTAAGTTTGGAGACAATACACAGTGACTTATTCTGCATTTCCTCTGTTTATTCTCTATGCAAATAGAGGCAGGTGGTGAATGGAGATTTCATTTTTGTTTACTTCAGTCGGCACTGCGAGGCTGATGAGTTTAAACGGTAACTGTGATAGCATAAATTATGTTCAGTCACTTCTTATGGGTTTAGTGTTC